TTTTGGATCAGAGTTAATGGGGCACAGTCCACTGTGGAGCGGAGCCCTGGTGGCAGGATCTGCAGGCATCTGGCCTCCTGTCCACAGGCCGGAAGTGGAGAGATGAATACTGGCACTCTGTTTGCTGTCTCCTTATTCATTCTAGGACCCCAGTCCATAGACTGGTACTATCCACATTTAGGGTATATAGCCTCACCTTAATTAATCTAATCTAGAAAAGCTCTCACTGATATGCTCAGGGGTTTATTTCCATGGTGATTTTAGAGCCTGTCATGTTGCCAGTATTCGGTGTGAGACTGTGGGGGAGAATGTAACTAGAGAATCGAGATCTATAACACGCTGGTATAGCAGTCATGCCCACAACTCTGAATATGTAACATGTTGGCTAATGCCAGTCATGCCGACACATCTGGCAGAGAGTAAATACGGCGATGATCTGAAGCTCTGTGTGCATCCTGTTAGCAAACATCTGGCACGGCATTCTGTCCAGAAGATGACATCATCTACTCTGGCAGTAATGTTCAAAATATTTCACATTCTTATGGCACAGATACTGGTCCACCAATTTGAGTGTGAAACTGAGTCATCTGGGGCAAGCACCCTAATGAAGGTGGGTCAGTGGAAAGTGGGTCAATCTGAAACATGGGGACTAAGTCCTTTAAGTGATGCTGTTCCTTGCTTCTGGGGTTGTCCATCTTATCTGCCCCTATCCCAGTGCCCACCAAAACTGTGTAACTGTACCAGGTAACAAATTACTATTGACTGCTTGCTGTGGTTACAGCTCTGTATGCTGTGAATGTGTTGCTCTGATTGATTGATAAATAAAATGCTGATTGGCCAGTTGCCAGGCAGGAAGTATAGTATAGGCAGGACAGGAGAGAGGAGAATTCTGGGAAGTGGAAGGCTGAGTCAGGAGATGCTGCCAGCACTGCTGCCATGAGAAGTAAGATGTAAAGTACTGGTAAGCCACAAGCCACATGGCAAGGTATAGATTAATAGAAATGGGTTAATTTAAGATATAAGAACTAGATAGCAAGAAGCCTGCCACAGCATACAGTTTATAAGTAATATAAGTCTCTGTGTGTTTACTTGGGTCTGAGTGGCTGCAGGCCCTGGTGGGACTGGAGAAATCTCCAGCTATAGCTGCTTGTCAGGACCAGTCAGGCAGGAGAGGGAGTAACCTATGATAAGTCCATAAAAGTTTGTTATTGTTGTTCTTTTTTTCCCTCTGTATCTCTGTCCTGTGTCACTTTCCAGGCATGAGCCAATGCCCTGTCTCTTCACTTTTCCATGCTTTCATTTTCTCTCTAGGATGTGCAACTCTTTGTCCATCTTGCTGAATGAACTCAGCAGTGTCTCTAGGTGCCCCTACCTCATCCAAGGCCCATGTAACACTGGTGGCTAATGTAGGCAGAACATCAGTTTCTAGGAAGAAGGAAAGGGAGATATTGGAAAGGGCTGTTGGGAGAGACTTTTTGGAAGCTTGTTTTCATTTCTAGGAAAGAGAACCTCCTTGCCCTGTTGTGCAGAGACTTCAGAGAGATGCAAAACACAGACAAATGCACATATACACACATACATACACAGGTACACAGACACACATCTGCATCCACACATATGTGCACAGACTGTACACTGACATACACACATAAGTATAGACATGCATGCATACACAAACTCATACACACATGCACATATCCTACATTCACATACACACGTACATATATGTTCATATATACAAACATATACACAAATAAACACACATGTACACAGACCTCCACACAAATAAATACACATACACACACACATACACTCATATATTCATACGTACATGCATACATATACATACATACACATACACTCAAACACACAAATGTATGCACACATACAACAGACACACATGCATAGACAGGCAATGCACACATATCAAACAGATATGCTTACCGACACATGCATAGTTATACACATTCACACAGAAATGCACATATGCACACAGGCACATGCACATTTACACATGGACACAAACATATACACACAAAAATGGAAAAACAAGCATACACATATACATCACACACATAGACACACAAACACAAATATGCACACATACCCTTAGGCAGACACACACCTGCATAAAGAAATACACACAAACATATAGACAAACATACATACATATAAACAGACACATATAAACACATACTATATATATATATATATATATACAGACAGACACATACATATATAGACACATAAGCACACACACATCCTCCTCTCCCTCTCCCTCTCCCTCTCCCTCTCCCTCTCCCTCTC